TCTCTCTCTCTCTCTCTCTCTCTCTCTCTCTCCCCTTCCTCTCTCTCTCTCTCTCTCTCACAGTTTCTCTCTGCCTCTCCTCATCTTTCTGTGCTATCTTGTCTTTTGGTCTTGATTCGAGTTATGTTTAGTCTATGACTCTGTCCCAGTCTCTTTCTCTTTCTCGTTCTCTCTCTCCCCCACTGTGGCTCCCTGCTGCCTCTTCCTCCTCTCTGGGCTCTGGGGTTGCTCCTTGCTCATACATACTCTTGCTTTCTCCCTCGCTCACTCCCTATCTCTCTTGCTCTACTCCCCACGGATGCTTTTTGTTTCCTCTTCCTGACTCCGCCCCATCTCCCTCCCTCCCTCCCTCCCTCCATCTTCCTCCTTCCTCTGCTCCCCCCATCCTCCCCATCCAGCTCACTCTCTCCATTACTCCCCCCATCCTCTCCATCCAGCTCCCTCCCCCGCATCTTCTCTCCACTTTCTGTCATTTCTCCCAAACTCTTGTCTCTTCTGTATCTCTGGCACTGCACCTCTCTCTCCCACCGTGTTTATCTCTTTCTAACTCCCCAGCCCACATCTGTCTCTCCCCCACATCTCCGTCTTTCCACCCTTTGCCTCATCCTTTAATCTCTCCCTTCATCGCTGGCACCGGCTGACCTCCATCCCTCTCCCTCTGCCCCCCCTTCCATGTTTCTACCCCCATTTCCCTCAAGTCCCTTCTCCACATCAGTCTGTCTGCTCCATGTGGCCACTCTCCATTGCTACCACCTGGACGTCCCCATCTCTTCCTGCTTCCATCCCTATCCCCCCATCTCTGCCCCCATGTCTGGCTCAGCAGCTCGGGTTTCTCCCTCTCCTCCCCTCACCCAACTTTCCCCACTTTCCCTTCCTTTCTCACTGTCCCCCCAGAACCCTGCCTCCTCCTCTATTCTCTCCCCCCACCCCCCATCCTTGCCTAGGGGAACTTCCAGCCCTAAAGGGAACGGCCAATGAGCAACCAGTGATTCTTCTTTGGGACAAGATTGACCAATCAGAAGGGGGTGGTGGCAAAAGTCACGGCTGAGACGGAGGGAGGTCAGGACTCCAGGATCTCTCCTGGGCTGTGGCCCTGGGGGTAAGGATACTGTCCAGGAGTTGGGAAATAACCAGGAAATGCCTTTCCGATTTGATGTTTTCCAGGGGCTATGAGCTCTCTCAGCCCCTTTCACCCCAACCCAGGGAGGGAGTCAGAGTGAGAAGTTGGAAGGGGAGATTCTTAATATCTCCAGTTAAGTACTTGGAGATCCCCTTGAAGGAGCCTCAGAAGAGAAAGTTGCCCGAGGAGAAGGGGTCACAGCTGGAATATATTTTAGCCACCAGTTTTCCTGGGGAGGGGAATGGAGACTTCCATAGAAGCCCCAAAATACCACCCCCTTCTTTTCATGTCTCCCAGGCCCCAAGCTAATACTCTGTGATGGAGCTTCCAAGAATAATATTTGGGGCACAGAAGGTCTGCAGCACCTCACCACTCACTTTCTCATTCCCCCTAGGATGGGGGCAGGGTAGTGGGAGCCAAAAACATGAAGATCTGAGATAGCTGGGTTTCCCTAGCTCCCCAGACATCCCTCTCTTGATGGGCAGAATGGAATGAGCCCAGGTTGACAGCAAAGAGATCTGGGTTACAGTCCTGCTTGTCCTCCCTCCCCTCCGAGGTTCATTCCCTCTCTGGGCCTCCATTTCCTCTCCTGTCAACTGATGGGGTTAGACCAGGCAGACTAAATGAGACCTCAGCCTGTGTCCATAAGAGAAGGATCCAAGGGGTGTCTGGGCCCCCCTAGATAAGGTAACATCCTTCCCCACATTGGAGAGTTGAAGCTGAAAGGCAACTCTCACGTGACCTCCAGACCCTAGTGTGTACCACAGTCTTGGTGTGCAAATATAGTCCTATCTCCCCCCGCTTGCTGCCTCCCTCCCTTCCTATCTTCTGGATCCAGCTGGCATCCCAGGATTCCAGCAGTGATGGGGCTCAGGAAGAGTTAGACACTGGCCCCGAGACCAACAGTTTGTGAGAAGGAGAGGGAACTGGGAAGTCTTGATCTCTCTACCCAACCCTGCTCCACTCCCTAGCTGAGAAATCCTTGATCAGAGGGCCAGATCAGATCTTCCCAAGATCCAACAATGGCTATTGTGTCTATCTGTGCATACCCCATCATTGCGACTCCCCCACCCTCCCCAGACAGGCCAAACCCAGAACTAAGAACTGTTTAAAAAAAAAAAAACAACCTAGCAGAATATTAACGAGGAGTCTAGGGAAGGCTAAAACCTTTCCAGCTCCCCTGGGAGCTCCCTTTAGACCTCCCTTTGGATGCTCCCTAGCCCAGAAAAGGGCAGGTCCATCACCTTAACTCTCCATCGTCAGTCATTGACATGTGCTGTTTCTGAGGTGAATGGGAAAATGGTGGGTAAACAAGAAACCAGAGGCCTCTGCTCCTAGCCTGGTCTGCTGTCAGCTGTGTGTGACTGCAGACCCGCCCTTCTCCGCTCTGGACCACAATTCCTCCCTCTGTAATATGGAGAGACTGGGCTAGAAATGATCTCGAAGTCCTCTTCCACCTCTGATAGCCCAGGCTTCTCTAATTGCGAGATTCAAAGGATGTTATTTAATTAGTTTCTAATATTCTTGAATCCCAATCCCTGAACATCCTTTGATTATGAGCTTCTAACATCCTGGTCCTCTCTTCTTTGAACTTTTCTGCGATTTGAGGTTTCTAACATTTTATCACTCTACTCCTCACATTTTGGCTCCAAGCTGATAATATTCTGTGATTCTCTAAGAGGTACTGGGAATACTGAAGAGGAGCATCCTGGCTCTGCCTCCAGGCTAATGGGCCCAGGGGGCCAAGCTGAGAAGTCTGGGACTCAGCTTCCTGGTAGCCTCTGGCCCCTTGCCAGCCACTACCCCAGACTTCCATGAAAGCCCAGGATTGAGGTACACCTCAGACATCTTAATCCTCCCCCATCCCCTGGCCAGGCCATCTTCCCTAGACAGGCTAGGGGAGCAGCTGGAGTTGCCCATATGCCCAGCCACTCTCTCACCTCAGATGGGCAACCAGAGGCAACCTCTGCCCTCTGGGTGCCCTCAGGAACCTGGTGCCTAGGGTGTAAGTGGAGTGGAGGGGAGATTTCTAGAGAAGCTGGGAAAAGGAAGTCCTTAGGGACAGTGAATCAGCAGAGGCAATGACCTGAGAAAGACTTCATCTTCTTCTGTGGTCCCCTGTCAAGGAATTGGATTCAGGCTTTCTGTCTCCCCAGCCCAAAGGGGGAGGGGCAGAGGAAGTCCTAGGCTCACCAAGTTGGATGAGAACCTTAGTCCAACCAAAGTGGGAAACAGATCTTCTTTTCTACCTAGACCTCATTCTATTCTAGGGAGGGAGGGGAAGTGGTCTGGAGGGACCGACTAACCGATTTAGAGTGGTTTAGTGGAAAACCCCAGAACTCAAACCCTGCCGTGCTCTTTATCACCTGTTTTGGTGTGTATTTCTTAACCTCTGGACCTTAGTTTCCTCATTAGACTAGGTCATCTCTAAGGGACCTTCGGGAGTTAGATCCTATCTAACCTAGCCCAGGACATTACACCCAGAGCAGACCTCCCCTCTGTCACCCTCCCTTCCTCCTCCATACCAGTAATGATCCTGTAATGAGGTCTGGCAACTCAGCCTGCTATTTGACACCTTCACAATTCAACCAGCCTCCTCTCTTCTTCCCCTCAGGCAGGAGCCCTCCCAGCGCTTGCATTCATCAGGTTGATCACAGCTTTCCTTTCCTTGCTCAGGCTACTAGTGCCACCTAAGAGGAAATGGTTCTTTCTTTCTGCCTATCCCAGCTCTCTTCCAGCATGATCCACCCACCTGGACAGGGTCTCTCCTTCTGTCCCCCTAGAGCTGGAGTTCTTAACTCACGGGGTCCATGAGCTTGAATGAGAAAAAAATTACGTCTTTATTTTCATTAACATCCGGTTGAAATTTAGCATTTCCATTCATCATGATTATAGCGCGGTCCCAACATAGTGAAGTCATTTTGGTCCTCTCTTAGAACGAAGGACAACAGCCAATGACGAAAACAACAAACAGCGCTGTCAGCAGCACCCGGGACTTAATCGCTGATAGAAATCACAGATATTTTTGTAACACATGACAGTGGTCACAGATTATCTCAGAATAATCATTTCTTTTCATCGCTGCTTCAAAATGACTATAGCTGGCAGACCCACTTCTAGAACCTACGTGAACAGTCTTCTGATCCACAGATTGCATGCAGATTTGGGTATTTTCTCTATGATCTTACGAATTTTATTCTCTGCATTTAAAAACAAGATTCTGAGAAGAGTGTCAAATGTCAAAGCTCCCTGTTTTGTCCTAGTGTTGAATGGAGCATTTTGAGTTTGAAGGAGCCACAGAGGTTGTATAGCCCAGTGATGTCGAACTCAAATAGAAAGGAAAGGGGGCAGCTTGGAAGAGGAGGGGGCCACTAAACCATCCATGAGGATTCCTGCAAGCCCCATATTGATGTAGAAAACCACATATTAACATTATCTATGTTTCATTTTTATTTATTTTGTTAAATATTTCTTCAAGTCTGGACTCAGACACATGACACTTACTAGCTGTGTGACCCAGGGCAAGTTACTTAACCCCAATTGCCTCACCAAAAAAAAAAAAAGAAAAGAAAAAGAAAAGAAAAATGATTGTCAAACATCATCAAACATGTAATTGGAACATATTTAATGAAACAAAAAAATATTTCCCAGTGACATTTTAATCTGGTTCAGTCCACACTGGGCAGCCTGTGTATTTGACATCT